TCCCCTTGCTCCCTGCTCCCCTTGCTCCCTGCTCCCCTTGCTCCCTGCTCCCCTTGCTCCCTGCTCCCTGCAGAGGCATCCCAGGTTTTGTTCCGCAGGAATTTTCGCAGCCGGTCTCCAAGACCGGGTCCTGTGCCTGTCGGCAGCTGGAATGGGTTTGTCTTGCGGGTTGTGTTTCTGCTGCATAATGTGTGTTTGGGAATTGCAGTGGGGCTCTCAGCAGCTCTAAAGTAGCACAGACCATGAGAGAGAAGCAGATCATTCTGGAGGTTATCAACTAGCTTGTAGAAGAGAATTTCCTCAGGAACAGTCAGCATGGATTCACCACGGAGGAAATCATGCTTGACCAATCTGATGCCTTCTATGATGGCGTGGCAGGATGGGTTGATGAGGGGAGAGCAGTGGATGTTGTCTACCTCGACTCCAGCAAGGCTTTTGACACTGTCTCCCACTTACCTATCTTCATAGGTAAGCTCAGGAAATGTGGATTAGATGAATGGACAGTGAGGTGGATGAAGAACTGGGTGAATGGCAGAGCTCAGAGGGTTGTGATCAGGTAGAATCCAGTTGGAGGCCTGTAGTCACTGGCATTCCCCAGGGATCAGTACTGGGTCCTGTCTTACTGGGCTTGTTTATGACCAATTTGGGCAAAGGGATAGAATGTATCCTCAGCAAGTTTGCTGGTGCTACAAAACTGGGAGGGGGTGGCTGGTAGACCTGGAGGCTGTGCTGCCATTCCTCAGGACCTTGATAAGCTGGAGAGCTGGGTGGAGAGAAACCTGATGAGGTTCAACAAGGGCAAGGGTAGATCCTGTGCCTGGGGAGAAATAACTCCAAGTAGCAGTAGAGTTTAGGACTAACCCATTAGAGGGCAGCTCTGCCGAGAAGGACCTGAGAGTCTTGGTGGATGATAAGGTGACTATGAGCCAGCAGTGCCCTTGTGGCCAGGAGGGCCAATGGTATCCTGGGGTGCATTGGGCAGAGTGTGGCCAGCAGGCTGAGGGACGTGATCCTGCCTACTCAGGCTGAACTCAGCCCTAGGGAGGCTGCAGAACTATGTTGCAATTATTTAACTATTCTTATGCCGACCTAAAGGCTTTACTTTTGACTCTCTTCCCCATTCCACTGGGGTGGGGATGCTGTGAGGGAGTGAGTTGATGTCTTGGCCAGGAGCAGCCTTACAGCACTTGGCCTGGCAGCTGATTTCTTTTTGTCTGGAGAAAGATAATAAGAGATAATGGATGCTAAACACTGCATTTAATGTCCCAGCAGGGAGAAGACTGAAGGAGGAGCCTGATGAGCCTGACCTGGGACCACAGAGGATCTCAGAGAAGATCCAGCACCACTGGAACTGAGCACCCAGGGCAGCCAGATGGACTCTCCCCACCTCATGGGGTTGTGTTTCCTGCTCCTGGCTGTTGCAGCTCCCTGTCCAAGTGAGTCTCCTTGTATGACCTCAGTGCTTTTCCCTGCACATCAGTAGTTAAAAAGCTTTTAGCTGTTATTAGAAAGCTCAGCTGTGCCCAGTTAAAACTAAGACCACAAAAGCTCTAGGGTGAGAAAAGAAATTAGGGTGAAGGTGGGTTTGTTTGACCTGTCCCAATGCCCTGTTTTGGGAGGGGTGACTCTTTGGGTCTGTCTGATGTCAGATGAGGCGAGTCCTCTCCTGAAGGACTGGCTTCTCCCCAGGAGAGTCTGGATGAGTAAACCTGCACACTGCACCCAGTGTGTGCAGTCTGGCAGCTGTGAACTTCACTGGTCTTGGGATCTGGCAGTCTGCTGGAGGGACACTTGAAAGGATTGTGCCAAGGCCTTGGGAAGGAAAGGAAACAAGAAGAGATGTTACATCTGAGCTCAGCAAGAGAAAAGCCTTTCAGTTGACTTCCCAAGGTG